CACCCCTCCCCAGCTCCCCCGGGAGCTGCTCTGGAAATGTCAGGGCAGGCGGTGGAGCACTTGGCATTTTGATGCAGTGCCGGCAGCGGCCGGGGAAGCTCCGGCGGGTCTGTCTGTCTGCCCCTGAACGGCCGGCTGGGCAGGAGGGGGGGAGATGAATGAGCCTCTTGAGCCGTGTCTATCAAAACACGGGGCTATCCAAGCGTTAAGCCTTTTCCCTTGTCTTTTAATTGATACGTTGGCCGAGCCTCGCTGAGCATCCCGGCTGCACGGGGCTGTTCTGGGGCTACCCCGAGCGGGCTGGTTCCCCTCCACTGGGTCACAACAGCTGGGACTGCCAGGGTTGGGGTGTCCCCAAGGGTCCTCAGCCACCCTTTGTGCCATGGCTTATCCCTGCTGACCCCACGTCTCCCACAGGCAGTGTCACAGGAGCTGCGCTCCCAGTACAAGGTGTGTGTGCCCCAGTGTAAGCCACTGTCCCCGGGAGAGATCCTGGGCTGTACGTCACCCCGGCTCGCTCAGGACACGGATGCCATTGTGTAAGTACACGGGGTCCTTCAGACCTTCCTGCACCCCCTGCCTTGTTTTGTGCAATTTTCAGGTGGTGAGGGCTATGCACAGGCTGGGATAGGCCCCCTTCAGCTCCTCACACTGCTTGAAGTGGCGTGTGCTTGTAGCACGGAGGAAATAATTGAGTCGTATATCAGAATAGATAATAGATGGAAGGGCGGGTGGATAATTGGAAAAGACAAATGGCCGGGGCCCAACATCACAGCAACATTAATTTTATTTAAGGACAGCAAATTAGAGGGAGCACTTCGCTTCCTATCACCTAATTATTTTAGGTAATGGAAATGCTTAATGTACTGTGAATACAGTGTGCTGCAGAATAAATAAACACAAGGACCCCACCCTTGGGGGGAGCTGGGGAGCCCAGGTGTGGGCTGGGCCCTGCTGAGCTCCTTCTTGCCCACGCTGCTGGGAGCCAACAGCACCAGTGCCTTTCCAAGCACGGCCATGCAGGGAGCTGGGCTCCAGATTGCTTGGACACAGGGGCAGTGAGAGCTTTGGATTCATCCTGAGCCACTTTCCATCTCCCCAAGGACATCAGGAGCAGGCAGGGACAGCCAGGTTGGCACTGCGTTGGTGAGAGTGGGTCGTTGCAGCTGGCACAGCAGTGGCAGTGCGGTACCAACCTGCGCAGGTGCACTCGGCCTTACCTGCGTCCTCCCTGCATTATTATTTTCTTCTTTGCACCGTCTCTGGGGCTAACTTTTACAGACAAATTAGCTTAGATCTCCCAAAATGTCATTCTCCAATTAAGGGCAAAATCTAGTCAAGTTTTACGTCTGAATTCATTTTCCAGGCCCTCACTCCATTAGGGCATCTGAATGAAAGGCTTTGAAATGTAATTGCTGACTGGAAATCCGATTAGAAATGGAAGCAGCAGCGTCTAGAACCAGCCATTGAGATGGAGCAGCTCCCAGCCAGCCCGTGCTGGTGTGAGCACCCCTCCTTGCTCTGAGTATGGCTGTCTCTCCAGCCCTGCCATGCCAGGGAGCCCTTCTGTGCCTGCTGCCCCTGGGTCCCAGCGCAGGAGCTTGGATTCCTGACATCTCCACTGTGCTGCAGTTTGGAAAGGACGCGTGGATGGGGTGCTGCTGCTTCCCGGTGCCATAGCTCTCCCTTCCCTCTCTGCAGGTATTTGGGCGACGGGCGCTTCCACCTGGAGTCCATCATGATTGCCAACCCAGGGATACCTGCATACAGGTACAGGCACCCACTCCAACCCCATGGTGGGGACCACCCCATCTGTCCCCATGTGCCCCCCAGGGCTGGGCAGGCAGCTGCCAGCAGCAGGCATGGGCAGGTGAGAGGGGTGAGAGGCCATGGGGTGGGTGAGGAGGTGCTTGGGGGAGATGAACACCAGCCATTTACTCCAGCTGAATATAAACATTTTGACAAGTACCTGTGAAAGCTCGTGGAGGTGCAGCCATTAAAGCCCGGCTGCTGCAGGCAGAGGCCATAAAGCGCGATGATGAGGCCGCTGAAAGCAGATGAAATATCAGGAGTGAAAGGCTGGGCCCATTTGGCAGAATCTGAATTTCCTAGTAGGTCGTTTGTTACAAACGGGAGGCGCACGTCAGGTTTATGGCGCTGGTGAAGCTGCCGAAACCCGAGTGGGATTTGATTAAAATTCTCCTCGTCAAACAAAGCAACAAATCAAAGAATTCTTCATAATTGATGAGCCAGGATGGGGGGGAGCTGAGTGTGAAGCCGAGCACGGAGCCGAGGCTGTGCTGGGTGTTGGGGTGCTGTGGTGGGAGACTTGTACCCTATCCCTGTCCTTGTTCCCTAACGAGCCGGCTGGGTCCTGCACCAGCCAGGAGGACAGATGCTGTGGGAGGCAATTAGTGCTAATGAGGGACGGGCATCACTGGGAGGAGGGCAGGTGATGGAGCCGGTGTGAGCCTGGCTGTGCTTTGCAGGTACGACCCCTACAGCAAAGTGTTCTCGCAGGAGCACTACAGCCACGAGCGCATGCAGCGTGCCCGGCAGGACGCCATCCGCACCGCCAGCACTGCCCGCTGCTGGGGACTCATCCTGGGCACGCTGGGACGTCAGGGCTCCCCCAACATCCTACAGGTACCAGCCCCCTCCCCAGTGTCCCCACCGGGCACCAGGCACTGCTGTTGGATGGGGGGAAGGACTGGTGAGCGATGCCACCATCGGTGAGGGTGGATGTGGCACCGCCGGCAACCCTCAGCGGCCACTGGTCCCAGTCTGCGTGGGCAATTAGCAGCAGATGAGGGAGGCTGGACAAGGGCTCATTAAACCCGTTCCTGGGGAGAGCTGGCCAGTCTTGGAGAACCCCCCCGTGCCCAGACAGCTCGGCAATTAATTGGCTGGGTTTGTTTTAATTGGATGAACTTCCGATCGGGTTCAGCATCCCTGCTCAGCTGCCGTGCTGGCGCTTTCTGCACCTCGGCTGGGTGAGGGGAGCAGGACAGAAGAGTTCTGCCCTCTGAGCATGGTGGCCCTGCTCACACCCAGAAATGCTGGGGTAGCCACAGGTGAGCTTTGAGGCAGTACAGGGACCAATGGGCAGAGCAGGACAGCAAGGTCCCAGCAGCTCTTCCACTGCATAAGTGCCGGCTCTGGAGGACAAGGACATCTCTGGCCCCTCTCCTCCTCCTGAAAGCTCTGGCTGCAGCCAGCCCATGACAGGTGGGTGTCCCAGGGCAGGCAGCCGCTAACGAGAACAGATTGTTGTCATTGAGCAGTAATTACTTCATTAGGCTGCCGTGCTGGGGAGAGCTGGGCACAAGCCGGAGCCATGGCCACAGTCTGGCCTATGACTGCCACTAAGGGGACACGTGGGGCAGAGCTGGGACCCACAGAGGGTCTGATGGCCAGGAAGGGGCTGTGGGCAGAGCTTGGGGGGCTTGCTGGGGGATCCTAACCCTGCCAGGTGCCTTTTTCCCCCACAGCACCTGGAGTCGCGTCTCCGCGCCCTGGGCCGGCCCTACGTGCGGGTGCTGCTGTCTGAGATCTTCCCCAGCAAGTTAAAGCTCTTCCCAGAGGTGGATGTGTGAGTGCTGCTCCCCCCTCCAGCCCATGGTGCCCTATCCCTGTGCAATTCCCGCTGGAAGCTGTCCCTGACACTTCCATCCTGCTGTCACTGTGCAGGGAAGGGGCATGGCTGGCTTTAGCAGGGTGGTGCTGGCACAGTGAGGACCTTCTGGGGTTCTGCTGAGAGGCTTCACTGTGCTGTGTTCTTCCCAAAATGCTCATCCCCGTTGTGACATTTCCCTTCCAGGTGGGTGCAGGTAGCCTGTCCCCGGCTCTCCATTGACTGGGGAGAAGCCTTCAGCAAGCCACTGCTGACACCCTATGAGGTGAGCATCCTTCTCTGTTTTGTGGGGACAGTCCTAGATTGGGGTGATGCGCCAGCACAGGCTGGGGATGTCCCTGCACCCAGACAGTGTCCCCTCCTCTCTCCATCTGTGCTCTGTGCACAGTCTAGGCATGCTGCTGGGATATCCAATCTTTTGTGAAAACACTGGGATTCCCGGTGCCTCCAGCTTTGCCCCAGCAGTGCCCTCCTCAGCACACCGAGCTGGATGCTGGGACCTCTGCGGGCACCACTCGGGGACTCATCCCCGCTCCTCTCCGCAGGCTGCGGTGGCTCTCCGGGACATCGAGTGGCAGCAACCTTATCCCATGGACTTCTATGCCAGCCAGTCCCTGGGGCCGTGGACGGTGAACCACGGTGGCACACAGCCCCCCCGCCGCGGGCAGCCGGCACAGGTGGGCAGCGGGGGGACACCGGGTCCCCGCTCGGGAGCACCGGGACGGGCTGAGCACCCGGTGCCGCGTACCGAAAGCGCCACCCGGTGGTGTCGGTGCCATGGAACAGTACCGGGGACAATGCCAGCCCGGTTCTGGGGAGGGACACGCGGCTCTCCCCAGCCCGGTCGGGGTGAGCGCCTGCCGGTTCCCGGGGCTCCCCGGGAATGGCGGGGTTCCCCCGCGGGGTGCTGCGGGCTGGGCACGGAGTGACTGATCGCAGCTCCGGCTGCGGCTGGGACATGCCTGACCCTCCCTTTCCGTGCAGGGGAAGCCACCCGCGCCCCCCGCCCCGCCCGAGGGTGGGGAGCAGCCGAGCACCGGGGACCTCGCAGCTCCGTGAGTGTCACCCGCAGCTGCCGCGCTCCGGGACCTGCCATGGGCAGAGCGGGACCACCCTCTACCGGAACGGATGGGCTCGACAACACCACTGCCCGCCTGAACCGACCCGCTGTCCGCGGGGAGTTCCCGTTGCGAGGCCGGATCGCACCGGGGCCGCACCGTCCTCCCTCACCCACCCTCAGGGACCTCCCGCCGCCAGGGGGCGCGCGCCGCCTCAGCCAAGGCGCTCCGCCCACTCTCGCCTCCCCGGCCAATCAGCGCGCGGCGTTTCGGCGGGAAGGCGGAAGTGGCGCTGCCGCGGCGCGGCCATGGCGGAGGCGCGGCCGCTGCGGCTGCTGGCGCTGCACGGCTACCGGCAGAGCGCCCGCCGCCTCCGCCAGCGCACCGGCGCGCTCCGCAAGGCCCTGCGCGGCCGCGCCGAGCTGGTGGCCATCGACGCGCCGCACCTCTTGCCCGCCAGCGCTGAGGACGACCCCGAAGGGGATGACCCCCCCCGCGGCTGGTGGTTCTCCGGGCCCGGCACGTTCGAGGCGGGCGAAGCGGCCGCGGCTCCGGCGGGGCTGGAGGAGTCTCTGTCCGCCGTGGCGGCGGCGCTGGAGGAGCACGGGCCCTTCGATGGGCTGCTGGGCTTCAGCCAGGGCGCGGCGCTGGCCGCTATGGTGTGCGCCCTGCGGGCCCGCGGCGACCCGCGCTTCCCGGTGGCCTTCGCCGTGCTGGTGGCCGCGTTCGCCAGCCGCGCCCCGGCACACGGACACTTCTACCGGGAGCCCATCGCCCTGCCCACGCTGCACGTCGTGGGCGACACCGACGCTGTCATCGCGGCGGCCCTGAGCAGGGAGCTGGCCCGGTGCTTCGTGGAGCCCGTTGTGCTCACGCACCCCGGCGGGCACTTCATCCCCGCGGCTCCGGCGCAGAGGAAAGCCTACCTGGAATTCCTGGAACGCTTCTGCCCAGGAGCTGGGCAGGTTTGAGAATGGGCGCTGTAATAAAAAAGGGCTCTGGTGAGCCACGTGTGGCCATCCATCCTGTGAAGCATCAGTGTTTCCGTGCCTCCAGAGGGACCAAAGAACAGCTCACTGCACGTTCTGCTCTTCAGTGTTCACCCAGGCCAGGCCAAATGGTTCTTTGTCTCCCCTTTTTTCAGCTTTGTTGTGTACATCAGTATAATATATATGGGTGTATCAAGTTATATATAATGTATATGACATGTAACACATGAGTGTGGGGGTGTGGCGGTGAGGGGGTTGAGGGCAGGAGGGTGACACTGCTCTGTGTGTAAGGTGCTTTCAGACACTCAAACACCTGCTCAAAAGGAGAGTCCCTCAGTTCAGCCACAGGAAGTCTCTGCAGAGCACAGAGCTCTTGCAGTTGACACCCCAAAACCTCGTGGTTTTTAATATCTGTTAAGCCAAGCTCCCAGCTGGTCTGGGCCTGGAAAACCCTCTCATCCTTGGCAGTGCCAGGGCTGGCGTTTGTTTCAGGAATGAAATGCCTGCTGGCTCGGTGTGCACGTGTTGAATCTTCCCTGCACAAAGTGCCTCCATAAACAAGAAAAGCTTGTTGCTGTTTGTGGCTCTGTATTATCCAGAAGCACAGGAAAATCTTTATTGCTGTAATACTTGCAGGTGTCCTGCTCAGCTTCTGCCCAACTCAGCACCGTGCACCAGTCTCAGGAGAGGAGAGCTAGCAGAGCTTCTCTAACCACGCCTTTCCTTGGGGGTCTAGAGCTGGTAAAAGAAGGAAATTGGGTATAAAAAATGAGTTTTCCCCCTGCTTGAGCAGCAGGGCAGCGCAGTGCCAGCTCTGTGAGAGCCACAGGATCCTGTGCTGCCGGAACCCTCCTGTGCTCAGTGAGCTGGGTTAACCCGGGGTGCCGTGGGTTAAAGCAGAGCAGCAGGGCTGAGCAGCTCGCAGCTCCATCCCCTTTTCCCCCGGTTTGTCGCACGCTGGTGATGCTGGCAGGAGGATGTGGCTGTTCCCCTTTCAGCCCAGACCCGTTTTGCTGTCACCCGGGGGGGCTCGGGCAGTGCTGGGTGCCTGCACCCCTTGGTTTCCACATCGGGGACACCAGAGGATGGGTTTTTGGGGGCTGCAGCTGTGGCAGGGCGGGGAGACCGGCTGTGACCGGCTGTTGGATTGTCGCCGAGCTCTCCCGGTGCTCTCCCGGCGCGGGGGAGGCACCGGCCGCCCGCACTGCGGCCCCGCAGCCCCCGGGCACCGGGAGGCACCGCCGGCTCCTGGCGAGAGGGAAGGAAGGGGGAGAAGCCCCGGGTGCGGTGAGTGAGCAGGCAGCACCCTCGGGTGGCTCCGGGAGGGATGGGTGACCCCAGCTGGGATGCTGCGGTACCTGCTGCTTTCCCTCAAGATGGCTCCTGAAATAAATGAATAAAAAGCAGATAAACGCGACCTTTGTCCGCAGGAGGTGCCCGTGTGAGCAGCGCAGGGAGGTCCTGCTTGCTCCCGGTGTGGTGGGAGGAGGGAAGCGGCTCCGAGGGGTTTGCCATGGGAATCCTGCCCTCGGGCTGGCCCCTGCCTCTCTCGCAGATCCAGGACTGTTCTTGGGATGCAGCCGCAGAACTTGGCTGAACTGCCCGCAGAGGTGAGCCTGGAGATAAGAGTGGCTGATGTCCTCCCACCCGTCACCTGGTGTGGTCCAGGGGAGTTGGGTTTTTCCCCCAAAACCAGCGTGGGCCTGTTGCTGTTGCTGAACAGGGGGTGATGGAGTGAGCCCAGCATCTGGGTGGCAGCTGTGCCACTTTGACCTGGGACAAAAGGGCCCTGGGCACAATCACTAGTGTTACCAGCAGCACCGAGGGCCTGGGTGTTTTGGCAGGGAGGATGTCACCCCTGTCCCCAGATGTGCCTTTCCATACCCCAGTGCAGCCATTGGAGGCACCTGTGTGACCTCAGGGACAGGAAGGAGCCTCGCTGTGAGGAGTCCAGGGAGAGCTTTGCTGCCCCTTCCCTGGGTGAGCAGAGCCCCCAGCCCTGTGCCAGTGTCCGGGGAGGGCAGGAGGAGCCCGGCATGATCAGAGACACCACCAGTGCTGCTGCTCCCTGCAAACTCCTGGCTGTTTTCCCACCTCTCCCCACTCCCCTCATCCCTTTCCCCTGTGCCAATGCCACCTCGAGGTCACTGCCACCCTGCCAGCCACCCGCTTGGGGCACACCAGGCACGGGTAGGGGTTCCTGTGGGCAGCACTGGAAAAAGTGACGTCCCGCCGAGCCTGGCATCAGGTGTGGCTCATGCCAGGGTTTGAGCCTTACTCATCTCATGCTCTTCCCCCTCTGTGCCCACCGGCAGGACCTGCCACAGGCGTGGGGAGGGGGCACTCCAGGAGTGTGATGTGTTTCCCAAATGGTTTTAGTGCCAGGTTTCCCCAGACCTGCCAAGATCCTGCCTCCAAAGTGGCAGGGGCAGGGGACAGCCGGGACCATCCCTGGGCCCCGCTGCTGGAGCAGGACCAAACCGTAGGGAGCAGCCCCCCCTTCCCTGCTTCACTCGCAGAAGCTTCCAGTTGTGGCTGAGTCACTCCTGCTGTAGCTCCTTCTCTCTCCTTGTTTTGGATGGAAGTTTTCCATGGAAACCCACGCTGGGCCGGGCTGCAGGCTGGGATAAACACGGCTGAATCACAAAAGGCCGTTTCGCCAAGAGCTGTCAGATGGCAGCAACAGCGTGTGGGGCCAGTGGGCACCTGCCCGGCCTTTGGGGGGGCAACAGCAGCACCTCTTCCTGCAGCCCCCACCAGCTTTGCTGGCTCAGCCCCCCCAGACCCATCTTAAATTCCTACGGTGCCAGGATGCCACTTGGCAAAGCCAGGAGCGGGTGACAGCTTTTGTCTGGAAGTTTTCTGGGGCCACGTGCTTTCCCAGGGATGCACAGGGAAATCCTGTCCAGGAGAGTCCCTTGGGACCTTCACTGCGGGCGGTGTCCACCCCTGTCCTCAGCTGCCGGGCTCTGCGGGGTCATGGCTTGGAGGTCCCAGGAATGTCCTTCAGAGCGTGCACGGGGACACGTTGCCGAGGTCAGGCAGCGTTTGTGCCGCTCCTGTGCCCCACTGAGCACCGTTCCACCGTGGAAGAGGCCGTGGTAAGGGCTGTGATCCTCCTTGGCACCGCATTCCTTCCCGGCAGGCCGCGATCTCCGTGCTGAGGAGGAGCACGGGAGCTGGACAGCCTCTGTCCCCTGGCGCTGGCGGCTGGCCCCGGGCCCGGCGGCTTGGAAGCGCCGTTGGAAGACAAGTCCCGGTGTCAGGAATCCAGGATATTTTTAAGGACTCTGGAAGAAAAACTGATTCCAGGGTGTCAGCGGGAAAGACTTGGCCTTCAAAACAACAGTGCAGCTGGAACATTCCCGGGCTGGAGCGTGGGGTCCAAGGGGCCACTCTGCTGCCCATGGGACTTGTCCCCTCACTCAGGGGTACCCTGGAAGGGACGCTGATGTCACCATGGCCTGGACCTCGCTGTGATGCTGTTGACAGGGCATAAATAAGGAAGTGTTTCCCAGGGGATGGAGGGTGGGTTTTGTGGCAGTGGCAATTTTGCAGCGGGGATGTGCTGGACGTAGCTGAGGTTTTACCTGAGTGTTGGTGGGACTGCCCGAAAATCCCCGTCCTGGAGGTGTGAGGTGCTTGGCCTGTCACCAACAGCAGCGACGGGAGAAGCAGGAGTCACAGGGAACAAGCAAGAGACATGGCAGGGCACAGCAAGGACCTGCTACCTCTGATCCTTCCCTGCCTGTGGCTCCTGTGTCCCACTGTGGCCCTGCTGGCCCCTGGGGACCTGGTGGTGTCCATGCCTGTCTGGATGAGGGCAGAGCTGCCAGCTGCATGACCCCATAGATGGGTGAGGGATCCTAATGGGGCTGCTTTGGAGAGGGAGAGTGTGAGCAGGGGACCCCGCATGACCCTTACTCGGTCTGGGTGGGACACCTGCAGGATCCCTGTGCTTCAGGCTCCCAAGACTGAAGGTTCTTGTTCAGGGACTCTTACCACTGCCACCCTCACCCACTTGGGGCTCACCCTACATGCCCAGCGTCCCCATGGGATTAGGTACGTCCCTCCCCTCCACAAGGTCTGTATGGTCTCCAGCCCTTCCTTCACTTCCAGCCCCCTCTCACCATCTCCAGGGCTGTGAGTCCCCGGTGCCCCCCGGGGGAGCCCTGCCCGGCCAGCACCGGTCGCTGCCGGCTGCTGAAGGCCCGGTGCCCGGTGCCGGGGCAGGCCGGGCCGCTCTGACTTCGCCGCTCAGGAATCTCCTGGCCGCGTCGGGCGGGTTGTGCAACCCGCGACCGCCCCCGGCCGCCCCCGCCCCGGCCCCGCCGGCCGCGCTCAGTCCCCGCCGCGCCGGCCCCGCTCCGCGAACGGCCCGGGGGAACGGGACCCCGGCCGGAGAGCGGACAGATGCGGCGGGCGGGATGGTCCCCGAGGGGCTGCGGGTCCCCGCCGGGAGGGCAGGTGAGGGGGATCCGAGGAGGGGGGTCCCCATGGTTCCCGCTGCCCGAGGAGGAGCCGCTCGGCGCCCGCCCCCCCGAACAGTAAGAGTTGATGTGCGGTGAGCTGCATCCTGCATGTGAGCTCCTACTGCCCCGGGAGGCGGGCCGCCCCCGACGGGACCCCCGCCGCTCCGCCGCCGCCGCCGCGGGGACCCCCGGGGGTGGGCGAGTGGGGGGAGCCGGTGCTGCCCGCGCTGCGATTCCGCCTGTCCCGGCGACCATGGCTGTAGACTGTTACCCCCCCAGCGGCACAGTAACAATCTAAAGCCACGGTCGCCCGGGCGGCGTCGGAGTGGGGGGGACCGGGAGGGCGGGATGGGAGGGGGCAGCCGGTGCCTTGGCGACGGCGAGGAGGCGTCCCCGCCACCGCAGCGAGCGCGCCCGACCCCCACCGGCGACGCTGGGGGGGGACTCCCGGTGCTTGGGATGGGGGGGGAGCGTCGGTAGCATCGGCAGCATCGGTAGCATCCGCCCACCCCCCCCTCCCCGCCCCCTGCCCTCCCACGCGTGTCCGCCCCGCCGGGAGTCCCCCCCTACCTGGGCTGCAGCGGGAAGGCGGGGGGGGCGTCCGCCGTGGGGGGGTCGGTGTCTGCGGGGGGGGAAAAAGAGAGCGGGGTCAGGCGGGCACCGGGACACCCCCCCATCCCCGCCCCGTCCCGCCCTGCCCCCGCCCCCGGCGGGGCGCATCCCCGACGGCTCAGCACCACGGACAGCGCCCGCCCCCCGGCGCTGCGGCGGGGCCGGGCCCGGTGCGGGCCGCTGCCGCTGCCGGTGCCGGTGCCGGTGCCGGCGGTGGGTCATGCTTCAGTAGCCATGACTGTAGACTGTTACTGTCCTGTCCCTACGCAGCAGTAAGCAGTCTAGAGCCAAGGTGCCGACGCTCTGACTCGGGCTCTCCTCGACGGGCTCTCCGCGCTCTTTAGACGCAGCGGGGTGAAGGCGATGGACCCCCCCCCACCTCCCCGGGCTGCGGAGCCGGCAGCACCCGGGCTGGGGACGCGGGGCTGCGGGGGAACCCGAGGGAGGCGGCGGCGGAGAGCGCCCGGCACGGCGGCACCGCGGCACGGGGGTCCCGTCGGGGGTGGCAGCGGGGAGCGGGGGGGGACAGCGGTGTCACCGCAGAGCGGGACTCACACGCACTGCCCCGCACACGGCCGCCCCCCCAACCCCCGCGAGGTGCGGGCGGCCGGTCCCGCCGTGCGCCCCCCGGGGCGGCCCCCGCGCACCGCCCCCGCGCACCGCCCCCGCCGGTGCCGCCCCCGCCGCCCGGTCCGCACGTGGGGCTGCGCCAGGCGGCTCCGCACCGCCCCCGCCCGCCGCAGAGCTCCCCCCACCCCCGCCCCGGCCCCCGGTGCCCTCCGCTCCGCCTCACCCCCGCCCCGCCACCGGCAGGTGCAGCGCCCGGTACCGCGGGGCTCCGCTGCCCCCTCCCGCCCCCGCACCGGGCTCCGTCCCCGCTTACCTGCGGGCCAACCCAGCCGGTGCCTTACCTCCTGCGGGCCCCGCGGCTCCCGGCGGGGCCGGCGCCGGTGGCGGTGCTGCGCTGTCCGCAGCGCGCGGGGCTTTTATAGGATCGGGCTCGTAGTAACGGGGATCTCGGCTCATTCATAGAAAAGCATCAACCTACACAATGACGTGAGCGCTACGTCAGCGAGGAAATTTAGGGAACGGGAAGACGCTACTATTTATATCGGCGCGGGGGGAGGACAGCGGGCCGGAGCCGGGCAGGGGGTCCGGGCTGCAACAGGACCCCGGCCCTCCCCCGACCCCTCCGGAGCCCCCCCTGTTCCCTGGCTGCTCGAGGAGGACAGTGGAACAGCACCCAGCGCCCCACATCCCTTCTCCACCTGCTGCCAGACCCAGGTGCACCCAGTGAGATACAAATTGGGGGGTCCTGTCCCCCTGGGAGTGCGGCGTGGGGCACCCCCTGACCCAGCCACGAGGGGTCCATCCACGCACCCATCACCCCTGACCACCCCACTGGGTCAGAACGTGGCCCCATCCTGGCATCGTGGCACCACCACGGGGCTGCTGATTTGGGGCTGTCTGAGCTCCCCGTCACGGGAAGGGGTTGCACAGGGGTCCCCAAGCTTGGGTACCAGCCTGGAGGTGCCCCCTGCCCACCTGCATCCCTCACCCACAACCATATCCTGAGCAGCACCTCCCACGTGCCCCCTCATATGACCCCCTGTCCTTCCAGTGTCACAAGCACCCATGGGTGCCACCCCAATGCGCTGCACGATAATTGGACAGCACAAGTGCTGGTGGGGGGCCAGTTCGGAATACACGGGGTGAGCAACCCACTGCAGCACTGTGCTGCCCTCCAGCCTCACAGAGGGGCCTGGCCCTCACTCCCACCAGGGCTGGGTCCCCCAAAAACCATCAGTGCTACAGAAGAAGGTTGTGACTTCACGGGTGAGTTCATTTTGGCCTCTTGCTCCTTCCCAAGTGCCAGCACCTCCCCCAGGATGGGCCTAGAGTCATATCCAGAGGGATTTGGGAGCATCCTTTCCCCCTTTTATGCACCTGTCCATCCATCTATCCATCCATGCATCATCCCCCCCCTCCCATTCCTGCTGGAGCCGTCTGACCTCACTCTGCTCTGGCGAAGCATCACACCGGTAACCACAGCAACAGCGGCGTTGTCATTGACAGCAGCATCCGCGCCCGCCAGCATCCGCGCTGCTGCAAGGCCACACGCTGCTACGGGAACCTCAAACCACGATCCCCCCACTCCTTCACCCCTAACACCCCCAAATACCTACAGAGCAGCTCGCAGAATTAACCCCTCCTCATCCTCCACCCCGCTCAAGCTGCTGCCACCCTAAAACTCCCCAAAAACCCCTTCTAAATAGGGGTATCCCTCTCCTGTGCCCTCCCCACATTTTTTATATTTTATTTTTTTTTAATTTTTCCCCACGCAGCACCGGCGCTCGCCCCGTCGGGGCTCTCCGGTTCGGGAAGGGAAGGTGGAGAATCGCTGCCGCAGCGCTCCCCGCCGCAACCGTGACTCAGCCCGGGATTAGTCAGCAACCGGGGCCGGCCCACCCGCAACCGGCTGCGCAGCTCCGTCGTTCCACCGGGGGCCACGACCCCCCGACTTCACGTCCCGGTCCCCCGACGCGCACAAGGTGCGCGTCGGGGGACCGGGACGTAAAGTCGGGGGTCGTGGCCCCGAGGATGGGATGTCGCATCCCGGAGCGTGGCCCGTTGCTGCCATCTCGTGGGCTTCCCACCGGTGACACAGCCGTGTCCCTGTCGTGGGAGGGGGGTGAGAGGTGCCGGTGATGCGGGTGGGGAGGGGGAAGTCACCTGTAGGGTTTGGGAAGGGGGATTGAAGGAGGAAGGGAGAGAGGAAAGGAGGTTGTGCCATTGTGAATTCACAGGGTGGGGAGTCTTTCCCATAAGGAAGGGATTTTATTGCCTCTGGATGCATCAATTTGAAGGGAAAGGGTTTTATCGCCTCAAGCCTCAAAATGTGACCTCTGCTGGAAGTGTTCCTCACCCGATTTGAGCGTTTTACCACAAGGAAAATTCCCTTCCCCCTGCCCCGTGAAGCATCACCCATAAAGGGAAGGGGTACCATTGTTTCACCAGGCATCCATCAGCTGCCTGCAAAGAAGGGCTCCCATCACCCCATCAAGTGCCATCCCACTGCCCCAGGAAACAGCACCTTGCAGGGATGGGTGCCCTTGTTTGACTGAAAATTGCCCCCTGTTGATAAAATTGCCCCCAAAGCATCACCCATAAAGAAAGAGGTCCCATCATCTCACCAAACTCTGGCCAACAGGGTCAGGATTCTCATCAGGTCCTATCACCCCATCAGGCACCATCCCACAAGGAAGGGGTTCCATTGCCCCACAAAGCAATGGGATGAGTGTCCTTGTCCTTGTCTTCCCAAACATCCCCCCATAAGGAAGGGATCCCATTGCCCACCAGCTCAGAAAGGGGAATTGCAAAGCCCTGCTCCTGGGGAGGGAGATCCCTGAGCTCTGGGATATCCCAGGGGCTGTCCAGCTGGACAGCAGTTCGGTGGGAAAGCCCTTGGGGGTCCTGGGGGACAAGGAGTTGTCCTTGGGATGAAGGAGGTGAATGGTGTCCTGCTCTGTGCTGGTTGACAGCAGTGACAGGATCCTTCCCCCTGCTCAGTCTTGGGGTGCTGGGTCCAGTGCTGGGCCCCCAGCATGGAAATACTGCAGAGAGTCCGGGGAAGGAGCACTGGGGAGAGAAAAGGACTGGAGCACCTCCCTGGTGAGGAGAGGCAGAGACTCCAGGGACCTCACAGGGCACACACAGGGAGGGCGTGGAGGGGACAGAGCCAGACTCAGCTCCGACCAGGGGCAGGTGGCACAGACTGAGTCCCACGGCTTCCTCTGGCCATCAGGGAGCACTTCCACACTGGGAGGGGAGCACCTGCCCTTGGAGATATCCAAAACCAGTGGGCAAGGTCCTGTGCAGCCAGCACTGGGTGACCCTGCTGGGGTTGGGGGATGACTTCTTGAGGTCTCTCCCAATCTCAGCTCCCGCTGTTTGATTCTGCCTCTTGTGCACCTGGATATCCCTCCACAAGGAAGGCTTGCCCTGCTCCATGAAAATTCACCTTGCAGGGAGAGGTGCCTTGTCTGACCAAGTATCTGTCTGCAAAAAAGGGTCCTCTCAGTGGCACCCCAAAAGAAAGGGGTTTTATTGCCCCATCACCCCACAGGGAACAACTCCCACTGTCCACCCCAGCGATGCCACCCGGACAGTTCAGCAGAGAGCAGCCACCCGGCTGGGCCCGTGCTGTGCCAGGGAAGCTCTGCCCATCCCGGACCCTCTCATGATGGGGAGGCACTCTGGGAGGACCTGGCGGGGTCCCGTGGCTGTTCCCATCCCTGCTTTGCAGCAGGCAGGGCTTGGCACCGGAACGGCTCAGGAGATGCCCCAGGACTCAGCACTGCCATGAGTTTCACAGCCTCAGCCCAGCCCAGGTGGAGGGGACACTCATCCCCTGCACACACGGGGGTGGGGGGCGCATTTTGGGGCTGCTGTACCCCGACACCGGCGGGGAATGAGCGCGGGCTGCCAGCGGGGGCTGCGGGCTCCTGGCGCTGCCGGATGCGGCCCCGCTGGCCAAGGCCAGTAATGGAAGACATGTGTGTGGGCTTTGGGGAGAGGCTGCGCTGGGAAACAGGGCCCTGCAGAGACCGGGGGGCTGTATCCTGTCCAAAAGCCCAGGTCCCACATGAAGCCAGGCATGCGAACGCGATCCAAACCACAGCTGGATTTGAACCGAATCTCCCAGCATCTGGGCTAATTTGCTGCAACTTTGATTGATCGTGGGGAGGGGGCACAGGCGGGAAACGCTCCAGCTCAGACCTCCCAACAGAGCCAATGACTTAACCAGAGCTGGTTCCAATCTGCTCAGCACATTGAGGCGAAAATGCCCTTTTCTCTGCGCGCTGCCGCTCGCCGGCGCTGCCTCTTCTCCGTCCCTCGGAGCCCACATCGGCTGCAGCTCCCTGGGGACACCCGGTGGGTTTTGAGAGCTCTGGGTGCAGAACGCTGGCTCAGGCTGCTGTGTTAGGATCCCTCCAGAAGGCTGAGCAGGACAGGACGGGGGAAACACTGGTGCAAGAAACCCCCCTCCACCTGCCCCAAAACCCTGCGGGCACCTATCCGCCCCTCCGCTCCTGGGAGAGGCCGGGAACGGGAGAGGAGCTGCAAAAGAGGGTGGAAAAGGTGAAGGGTTTTTCCATTGCCTCCCTCGGCCGCTGCCCCCGGGGCTCGGCGTCACTCAGCAGGTAGCTGGGGCAGCCCGGGGTCCCGGCCGGCCCCGGGGGATGCGGCTGTCTGGGAGCCGCTCGCTGCCGTGATTTATGCAGCTCAGCCCCATAAATTACCGGGACGGAGCCCGCGGGAGCCATCGCTCACAGCGACGTCCAGAGCTCGCTGCCAGAGCCTGAAACACTTCCAGCCGTTAATTGAAGAGAGGGGGGAGAGAGAAAAAAATAATGGGAGAGGGGGGAGAAATTAGTGCCCGGGGAGTTGGGATTTAACCGCGGCTCTAACGAGGGTCGCCCACGTCCCGCTCCCAGGATCCCGGCGCTTCCTGTGGGCAAGAGCCCAGCGCGGGGAGCAGGGAGGGGAATTTCTGAGCCGGTGCCCGGGATGAGCCCGTGGGCAGTGACACTCCGGCCCGGTCCCAGGGTGACGTTTCCGTAGTGAGCTGAATCTGAAGGGAATCCGAGGATGAGTTCCAGGTGAGTGTGCTGAGCTGGGAGAGCGAGGGCTGCCACCAGCCTGCACCTTCCCTGCCACCAACCAATCCCTTTTTGTCCCAAATTCAGGCTGGCCAAACCCTGTCGCAGGCACCAGGGACCCCACCTTGGCTGCCATTCACAGGGGGACCAGGGTTATGGGCTGAAACCCCAAGAGCGCAAGCGGGAGGGATGGCGCTGCTCGGGGTGCCCTGCTCAGGTCAGGGGGTGCCAGCGGGACACCCCGGGATTAGCAGCCGGCCTGGGGAAGCCCATCGCGATGCTTTGCTGTACCAGGAGGTTGTGCAAGAGACTGCGGCTGTGAGAAAGGAGAAGTGAAAGTGTGAAGCGAGAGGCGGCTCCCCCCCGCGCCAAGGGGGGTACCCCATGCTGCACCTCAAGCCCAGCAGCTTTTTCAGGCTGGA